CCCCAAAACCCCAAAACCCCAAAACCCCAAATTCCTTAGCCAAATAGAACAAATAAAATGAATAAGCCACTAGCTCATAAAGTGTTAGCCAAGTCTTTGGATAGGTAAAAACTCCTTTCTAAGAGATGTTAACTGTATATTCTGGGAAAATATGCTCCAATGGTCTGTTAGGGAGCTTAAGAGGTGATAAGTCCGAAGGGATCAAGAAGAGATTGACACCTGATTGATGAGATTTATGGAAATTTTTGTACATAACCTGTTTTTGAAATTTGCTGAATGGGGGATTAGCTGAGGCTTAGGGATGGATAAGGATTGTTTAATCATTTTTAGAGAAAGTAAGCAAGGGAAGAGATCCACAGGTGCCTTGTTTGGTAAGATTTTTATACCCAAATTTCCGATCCACCAACCCTCAAAAATTCTAACCCCACATAGACCCTCCCAAACAAACCAAGAGGAGAATGTAACCACCAGCCATCTCATCTTTAGAAAGAGTCCTAATACATGAAAGAAAAATAAAAACATGACCAGTTTCACAAAATTTCACGCAAAACTAAGCGCAATCGGAGTCTCTAACGCCTGGATCGAAAGTGTTGCTGAAAGACTTACAAGAAATGATAGGTAAGCATACACATAGAGAAAGTAGGGTTGGAAAAGATCCTGATAGGGAGAGAGTATTGGTTGCCTCGAAATTTCATTTTCGCATCCTAATTGAAGATATAAAGCATAGACTCCTTCCTAGTCATTTGCTTTAATAAAAATTCTTTACTCCTAACATCTCTAATCCAAATCTCAGTTTGTTCATCAGTTTTGTCAGATAATATATCTCGAGATAACATCTCAAATTTTTACATTGCTAAATTTTATTTGAACAACCAGAATTGCAGTCTGATATTTGCTATGGAACCATTAAGTTATAGAGCCAAGAGCAGGAATAATTACTCTGAGTTAAAATTATGCAAAACACGGAAAAGAATCAAGACTAACTTCAAGATGAAGAATGCTAAGAGGAAGCTTGCCATTCAGCATATTCGTGATGATGATAAGGGCAATAGAAATACCCAAGAGGTAAACCCTATTGCTTCAGTCGATGGAGCTGCACTTTCTAAGAGAAATTTTAACAAATGTTCACTCATGCAGGTAAATTAAAATTATTTGTTGAGAATAGTTTCATTCATATTCAGAAAACATAATCTGTTTTCTTTACAATTTGACACTAAATCGTTGCCATAGAGATCAATGAAATCTATCAAAAATGTAGACTACACTGATGGTTTAATGAGAAAGCCGACTAGGACAACCCGAGGTAGGTATACTGGTGTATAAGCCTTCTTTAATTTATATTATCAGCTACAAAAATGAGTATCAGAGCTCCAAACTCTTCAGCAAGTAAAAGTAATTCTGAAACGATTGTGAATCCTGATACTGTCAGATACGAAAAACAGAAGTTACAGATTGAGACTTTAAGTAAGCATTTCCTACCTCAAGCTAATGCTAGCATAGAAGAGCAGATCAATATTACAGAGAGTCCATCTCCTCAATTATTCACAAATGATCCAAATAAGTTGGCCATAGAGGAATCTGAAGATTATTTAAATTATGAGTGGCTAAAGCCCACTTCGTTAGCTCCTAATAACAAAAATAAGAAGCCTTATATACTTCCGAACTTGCTAGAACCGATTCCTTACATCCAAGAGTCTCCTATTACCTTCAAATTCACAGACCTCACACAGGTAAATTTGTAACGTAAATTTAGGAGGAAGAACTGGTCCACTTACCCAAAGTTGAGAGTTGTTCTTCAACAAGTCAGGAAAATTTTTATGATAGTAAGTATTAAGCCACCAACCTGGTATAGTCAATGAAGAGAGTAGCGAAGTTGTTCTGTTCCAAGAAAGTATGGCCTTTGAATAAGAGAATTTTCATTAATTTTCTGTAAGCAATGGCTCAATTTTAACCCTTCGTAGCGGGGTTTTGGGGTTTTGGGGTTTTGGGGTTTTGGGGTTTTGGGG